TCGCCTCCATCGACAACTTCTGGATGTCTACCTTCGGCTCGTTGGCCGCCGACGACGGCCGCTCTCCTCGCGGGCTATTTGTGGCCAACTTTGAGGTCGAGTTCGACGGCGAGTCTTTCGTTGAAGAGGTCTTCAGACGTTTAATGGATGTCATGGACGTGGAGGAAGAGGAGGACAGGTATCCCGAGCCGACCCGTCTGTCCCTATCGTCGGTGCGCCGACCGGAGGACGAGTCCCGACCCGAAGAGTGTCGGCCGGAGTCGCGGCTCTCATCACGTGATGAACGCATTGGTGTTTGGCTTTACCGGCGATGTAAGTGATAATTGACTTCTTCACAAGTGATTCCAACGCTTGGTTTCGGTCACCGAAAGACTTGACAATTAATTATGCGATTAATTAATTGATTATTAATTAAAACTTGTGTTTAATTACCAAAAGTTTTTGTATTTTTAATTTGGTTTATGTTTTCATGTGTTTTCAAAATCAAACCCAACATTGACTTCAATACTGAGGGGCCGTTCATAGAGTACGTACACAATGAGAATCATAGCTCTCACGCATATAAACAGTGATTAAAAGTCTGTTTTATTATTATTAATAAATTAATACAATTAATGTATAGTTTTATTAACTATTAAACCAGTAATTAATTATAATAATTAAATCCAATTAATAATAAATTAAATAAAAAGCATTTCATAGAGAATGCATTGAATGGACGTCTTATATGGGATGCAATGGTAGTGAATGTGAGCTCACGTGACACTCGTTGCCATCCTTTTCCGCTTTGGACACAACTCTCATAACACACACAAAACAACGTGTCTTTAGCTGTCGATCACCACTAGTGGATCAATTGGACCGCAAGACTCGCACAGACATCACCGAACCCTAGAAGACATGGCATCGGCTGCGGCCACATCACCGAACGAAGAGCTGCTCCTGAAGGGGACACTCATTGGACACAACTCGTGGGTGACTCAGATCGCCACCAATAACCGGTTCCCGGACACCATCCTCTC